AGGCCAACAGGAACATGACTTCCCCTGGATCCAAAAAGAGGAAGGTAAATAAACACAGTTCTAAACAGATAGTTTCTTGGAATTAAAATTTTATGTTCTCTCATTTAGTTTTCTTTATACTTCTTAAGTGATCAATGCTTTGGGATTTTTAGACCCAATCTCCCCTCTCTCTTCTTGGTCCTTTTCTCAGTTTCTAACAGCATCTGAATGTTGGCTGAAATAGATTTTAGGAAGTGTTAACCAACTCAGTTTTTTAACCCTTTAAGCAGCTGTGTTATAAAAGGTTTTGGCACCTACAAAAGAAATATCACAAGTTACAAGGTATCATAAAAGCCAGAGATTGTTCATTAAGGATAGTATTGGTAGTTACAATTAAAATGATAGGTAGCTCCTAAGGTTAAAAAAAAAATTCCTTACCTTAAAGTAAGCATTCCAACCGACTCAGGAGATTCAGAGAACTTGTTCTAGTCATTTTTCTATTTGTAATCTCGATACTGTGTGTGTGTGCATGTACGCATGCATGAGTGCAAGTAGTGAGGCTTGAACTCCTTGAGCTCTTGCTTGGCTATTTCATTCAAGGCTGGCATGTTTACCATTTGAGCCACACCTCCACATCCAACTTCCCCACGCCCCGCCCCCCCCCCCCCCCCCCCCCCCCAGTTAATTAGAGCTAAGAGCCTCATAGGCTTTTCTGCCCAGGATGGCTTCAAAATGATTTTCACATCTTCGCCTCCTAAGTAGCCAGAATTACAGGCATGAGCCACCAGTGCACAATGCATTTTCTAATCTCTAGTTTAATGCCAGTTCATAATCAACTGCTGTCTGTTGAATTAAGTTGCCTTGACTTGAATCTCTCAGGTTGACTGGAAGAGAGGGCCTGCCTGCATCCTCAGACTCAAGTTCTGCCCAGGGCAGGGCTTGGCACCTGTGAGTCCTACTTTCAATGACCTGGGCCTCAAGATTCCCTGTAACGTGGCTGCTGAACTACTTTGGATTTGAGACCATGCTTCAGCTTGTATAGGATGTCTTCATGCTGACATCTGGAATCCTTTACTACTGTTACTGCTATTATTCCTTAATGTTGGGCAATGAGAAAAGACAAGCCTATCTAGACCTAGAATTTTTTCCTACCAAACTGGTATAAACTTTCTACTACACATTTTTAGAAATTTTCTTCGTGACTTTTTAACTTTTAGAATTTTATTGAAAGGATATTACAAGTTTCCAAAATACCAGTAATTTTCTCATCATTTCAGTAGACCATTTTGTCAATTAATCTTTTATTTTTATTGTAAATTCCTTCAGTATTTTACCGAAAAAAGAACTCATTAGGTTAAAGTGTAATCACATGTCTTCTGATGCCTTTAATATAGAGACCTAATGTGTTACAGAAAAAATCAGGAAACGATAAGTTGTGCTGTAATTAACATTTTTTATTCTTAAACATTTTTGCATACAGCTATATATATTAATATCATTTAGTAGCTATGTGACAGTATATGATAGCAAGAGCAACACACCAAAATGTATGCATTTCTCCACCAATATTTAAAAAATGCATAGGGATATTGCTAGAAACATCTGTGCACAAGTAGCATTTTTCTTTTAAATATGTTTTTGAGCATGTCCTATTTGAGTATGTATGTCCAGAGACCAGTTATAGAGCTCATGATAGTTTTCTAAATAGTTCTTTAAAGTGACTGCTAATGTGCAATGCTAATGCTATAAGCCACATGCAGATTTAAGTTTTTGCCCAATAGCATGAACTAGATAGATCAGTTATTTAAACTTATACTTTAATATTAATTGAATTATTATTTGTATGTTCTCATTGTCACCTAACCCTTCATAAATCTGCTTACTAAAGAGTATAAAACCTTCAGGATTCTTAAGTGCTATGTAATGCAATTTTTTCCCCATTTTCTCTTATGTAGGGTCTAGCTCTCATTTCTCTTTTAGTTGATCTACCCTGTCAGTATTTTTCATCTGCAGAGCTTACTTTCATTGCTATGAAGTTCCTTTGTTACCATTATGAGGATATAAGCAGTAGTCTTACTTTTACACTTAATATTTGGTGTATCCAGAAGAAACCACATTATCGTATTTCCACAAGGATCTACGTAAGATTTTTTGTTTTGTTTTTTGGGTTGGTTGTAGAGCTTGAACTCAGGGCACTGTCCCTGAGCTTTTTCACTCTAGGACAAAGTTCTACCACTTTGAGCCACAGCACCTTCTAGTTTTCTAGTGATTCACTGGAGATTCACAGCCTGCTGGGCTGGCTTTGAACCACAATCTCAGTTATTAGCCTCTGGGTAGCTAGAATTACAGGCATGAACCACCAGCACCCAGCTACCTAGTTTGTTGTTGTTGTTTCATTTTGATGCTAGTCCTAGAGCTTGGACTTGAGTACAGCCCGTGCTGTACCTGAACAGTTTTGCTCAAGACTAACACTCTACCACTTGAGCCACAGCTCCACTTTGAAGATAGTCTCACAGGCTTTCCTGCCTAGGCTGGCTTTAAATTGTGATCCTCAGATACCAGCCTCCTGAGTAGCTAGGATTACAGGAGTGAGCCACTAGCACCTAGCAAGCTATTTCTTTCTAATAGTTATTTAACACTTCTTTCCAAATGGCTTATTGGTCTACAACTGACTACTCAGCTGCACAGAACTTAGAAAGATTGCTTAATAGCATGCTTTAAGGACTTGAAAGAGCAAAGTTCCTACCTTCCCTCTTAAACTAAAAAATGTCTGTGCCTGTTTACTTTCCTAGATTATGTCAATTCTCTATTGTTACATAAAACAACTGGAATGATAAATGGCATTGTATCAATGGTATTGCATACTGTCACAATACAGTTCTTTGTGTTTCGTATACTTATCTAATCTTAACCCTCACAATAATTCTGGTACATATTACTTACTTTATAGATGGCAAAATGGTAGGCAGGCTTGTCAAAGTATGAGTGACCCAAGGTGTCCCGGTTCACTGCCTTCTATTATACCAGGTTGTCTCTCATAGGAACTGCTCACATTTTTAAATGTCCCTTACTGGTTATAACTCGTCTCAATCTCCAGTTTGTTATTCTGTTCTGATTTCCAGTAACAGATCAGTTTCCTTAGTTTTGAAAAACAAGAAAATTTGGCCTACTCTACTACTGATTTCCATTACATTTGGCTATAAAATCTTTTTTGTATTGCTTCTTTACGTTATACAGGGCAGGGAATTTCATTGTTTCATGTCTATGCACATTAGTGCTATATTCCAGGCAATTTCATTTCCACCATCATCACACTCCTTGTACCTTTCAGGAAAAGTGTTACCAGCATGCTTCCTTGTTCTGTTTTCATAATTGTGACTAGACTATTTTGCTAGTACTCAATCTTTTTTACTCTCCTCTCACGTACACACCTCCCATTAGTCCCCACCTGCCCACAGAACCTATTTCTGTTCCCTCCAATCCTCTACTGATCATCAGCTTTTGGTGAGTTTCTCTGTATTGCCCTCAATATTGAGATGTATTAGTTATTCATCCTCCTTTTTCCAGTCTCTCCACTCTACCTAGTAATTATCGATATGGATATTTATACTTATGTATATGCCCATGAGTATGAATGTCTTTTAGGTCTAGCTTCCACATACAAGTGAAAGCACATATTATGTTTATGAAGCTTGGCTTGTCTCAGTAAGATGTCCTCAAGATGTTTTCCCAAATCTGATTATTTCATTTTTTTGTTGTCTATTTAACATTCTATAACTTATTTATCCATTCATCTGTTCTTGTGAGCTCTACCTCTAGGTTGATTCCATCATTTGGCTATTATTGACTGTATTATCTTTTGCAATTTTTCTATTTACCTCTTTCTCAATTTATGATGCGTAATCTGTGATCATGAAAAACTTTTTAGTTTTTAGAATTGAACCCATGGATTTCCAGGCAAGCACTCTACCACTTGAGTTATGCCCCCAGGACCCCTACCCCCACCCCCATTTATTTTGGTTTTGAGACAATTTCTTGCTACTTTTGTCAGGACTAGTCTTGAACTTGAGATCCTCTTGCCCCTACTTCATGAATACCTGAGATTAGAAGCATATGCTACCAAGCCTGACTAATCATTTCTTTTCATTTACAGTTTTGTAGAACACTTCAAGCATTTCAGTTGTTTTGGTGGATTTAAATCTTAGAATCTACCCAGTAATATTATTTTAAAAACAATGATACTGATTGTTCGCTTTTCTATTTTTGGTATGCTGCCATTTACTTAAATGTCTTGTTTCACTTTCCTCAAAAATACTTCTATTTTGAATGAGTGTATCAAGAACATATTTTGTTCTAAAATTTTTGTAACACAGGGTTCCTATCAGAAGATGTTACCAAAGAGCATTATTTTGTTAAAATGGCCAAATTCTGCTTTAAGAGATACATAGACCTAAAACATTATTTAGTTTTAATTAATCTTATTCTCTTCTGATTCGGAAAGCTACAAACCCTGAGTCTACTTGTTTTCCACAGCAGCTCTAGGTACTGATTGCCACAGGTGCTTTTTCTTTCATTCGCAGAATCTACACTCTTAAATCTTCTAACATCAAAAAGTCAGTGGGAGATCAAGGGTTTGGGGAATTATGAAAATATGAAAAGGTACCAATGTTTGCTCCTCCACATGGCAAACACTGAGAAAATTATTGGTCATTGAATTTGTTTCCTATTTGCAAGTCTTATGCTATAATTCCTGCCTGAAAACAGTTAATCTATACTGGCCTCAGTTATCTGTTGGAAGCTTTTTTAGCTGTTAGGCAGGGCTCTGCAGAACTAATCTTATCCTTCAGATTTTCTTTGCAATTTTTCTCCCCCTAAATGAGTTCTAAATGTGTTTGTAAAGCTGAAGGCTACCTTGATATCGCTGCCTCGCTAGTTCAAAGGGGCAATAGGATGAAATCACCTGCAAAATGTAACATCAGACCTTCACAAAGAATAAAGGATCATGCAAAGCTAATTGTTCAACAATTAGACAACTGCATTTTGTCATATTGGCACTTGTATTAGTTGCTATTCTTACTACAAAGTCCACTTATTCATATTCTATATAAAAGGCTTACATAATTTACTATTTGTATATGTGTTTTGCTATTCAAACAAGTGGTAGAGCTGCAAACGTAACTGAAGTATGCCTTTGACATTATTTATTGTTCTACAGATGATGAATATCAATAGCAGGTACAATTTTACCTTCCCAAAATGTTCACATGAAACTCTCACACATACACTCAATAGTAAAATAAAGCTAACTGTTTTAAGACTGAATCATGGAAAAAAAGCTGAAACAAAGTTCAAAAGCCAGTAATTGATAATTAAGACATACAATGTCCATTGTCTCAAAGACAGCTAGCGGCATCTGCAAGGCCTTCCTCATACAGTCACCTGTAATTACTCATATGGAAGCTGTCCTTCAAGTGATAATACTCAATGCCAAGATGAAGAAAATTTCCAAGTTGCACTTTTCTAAGTCTGAAGGTGTTGTCCTGCATTTTCTAGGTTTTTGCTTTCCTCGCCGTCTTCTAGCTTAGCCATTTCTGTATTATCAGTTCCTGGAGCATCCAGCTGCTTATCATCACCATCAAAGATAATGTCTTCTGGATTTGGAGGAGGAGAGCAGAACTCTTCACTTGGAAAGATCTCATGAAACAGTGTTTCTGCTTGCTTGACCGCATGCTCATTCCCCAGACCACAATCAGGCCCAGAGCAGACGTAAACATTGGAAGGTAAGCCATGATATGCGCTTCTGCTAACCCCTGAGGAATCTCTCATATTAAAATAAAGAGCCCACAAGAGTCTTGGCTTTTTGAGACCTTCCTCATCTGCTTCTGTTTCAGCAAAAGGTGAGAATAATTTCTTCACTACTGGCTCCAGGTCTTCCCTTGCTGTTTTTAAAGATGAACAGGTGAGATGTACTAGATAGGTATCTTTCATGCATGTCATGGTTGAAGAACACAATTCTGTGACCCGAACAGAACAAGCTCCTGGCTCTTCAGGCGGCACTATCAAGATGGAAATCTGCTGATCTGAATCTGTCTGCAGAATAGACTGATCTGTAATGAGCACTGCCCTTGATATCTGCTTATACTGCACATTGGAGCATATTTCCCTAGAAAGGTAACTGTCCTCCACAATAAAATATTCAGCATTTATCCTCTGACCAAAGTGATCTATAATTGCTTTACATCGTCTAGATCCTTTGTCAACTACAAGGCATTTTATTTTATGACGAAGACAATAGATTCCACCAAAAACTGCGCACATCCTGCAGAAACACTGGGGAATTTCTCCTTGCCCATACAAAGGAAATAAAAAGGGAGTGTTGCCATAACGCCCAAGACACTGAAGGAAGTTTTTTGTTGCTTTAAGGCCATCAAATGTGGTGCAAGATGATTCTGATATCATTGCAATTGAGTGTAGTATAAAATGTTGAAGGTTAGGAGTTAATTTTTTAGTTTTTAAGTACTCTGAAAATAAACACTGTTTGAAATCTTGGTATTCATCAGGATGCTGTTCATAGTCTAGACAAAACGTAAGAAATTTCATCAGCATCCTCTTTTCAACCATAGTAAGTTCTTTGCTATTAAAGACATCTGCTCTGGAGCAAGGCACCTGTTCTACCTTGCCTTCCCGAAAGGCAAGGATCCGAGTCACATTTTTAAATTCTGCATAACGACTAACATTTGATTTGATTAAAAGATCAATCAATGATCCTTGGGAATACAGCAGCTTTGATACCAAATCAATATTAAATTTCCTGCCTTCTTTAACCATCTGGGGGTAAGTAATCTTATTTCTCTTTGGCTTATCAGCATTGTCTTCGGGTTCGTCTGCAGGTTGGTTTTTATTTTTCTCTTCATCTGAAACTCTGTGTATACAAATTTTATCACCACAGGGCTTTTCTTTCTCCATCAACTCCTCTTCATCAGGTACTTCCAGTGAAATCTCTCCACTTTTCTGAGTGTGTTTGTCAGGCATTTTGCAGCTGGTAACAGGTGCTGAGTCCTTTTCTTTAGTGGAATCTAGAGGTTTAATGGAGGTACTAGAGGTCTCCGAGGAAGGATATTTCTGCAGAGCATCAGTCTCTAGAACACTGTCTACCCTATCTTGACTTGCATAACAAAATACTTCTGCGTGTTGAATAGTTTCATCCTTCTTTTGAAGAGATATGGCTTCTTCTGTATCCTCGATCAAGTTTTGCCATGCAGCAATCGTTTCTTCCTCAGTGTCACTGTTTTGTTGAAGTTCTTCCAACCAAGACAGCAACCCAGGAAAGCTGAAACTCGCCCAGTTGCCTCCATAGTAACTTCTTGAGTCGATATGCAGGACCCTCTGTCCACTTCTTGAACACGCAGCTGCAAGGATAGATTCAGGCAATCCTGTCCCTATTATCACGACGTCAAACTCTGTGGGAAGTCTGTCAGCCATCCTAGGAGGCAAAGTATCTAGTGACAGCTGCTGCTGAAGGAATGTGTATGGATCTAGGCTGAGGGCTCCTCTGAGGTATGATTAAGCTGAAACAAAATCTCTCTCCTTGTGATGTCTCAGTTTATCCGAGAAGTATGCAGGTCCTAGCTATTTAACTGTAACCTTTATAAACATTTTGTAATAAGTCAGTTGCACAGAAACATGATAAAGTACATCTAGTCACATCTGAGAATACTAAAATGGATGTGTCGTTTTCATTTCTGCATTTCACCTTAGCAGTAAATGTCAAATTGCATTACGTATGCATTTGTGACTGGAACTCTTCTCTGAAAGAAGAAAATTCAAGAAAATACAATTGTAAACAATGTAAGAGCAAAGTAATTACATGCAACAGCAATTACAATCCATTGGTATATGACTTGTTACTTAGATACTAATGCCTACTAAGCCACATCATGAAATACTTGCTCACATCATTTCTATATCTTGAAAATGAACAAGAGATATATAACCTCCCAATAAGGTAATACAGTAATAAGGAAAAGATAATTTCCCATAAAACTAAAAATAATTAACATAATCATTTGCTTCTAAGAAAATATTTCAATAAATTACAAACAACTGTGAGCTTAGACCAAAAGAAAGCATGTGGATCAACAGATTATGATTTATGGAAACATTGTGATTAGGAATATTTCTGTGGCCAAATACAATCTGCATGTGATTTCAGAATAGCTAAAAAGACCTTTCCAGCCCAACTACCCTAAGGATCTAATGGTAACTACATGACTGAACTACAGATTACTACAAAAGAAGTCCTGCAGTAAAATAGCATTTAAAAATAAGTGCATACAAAAATGGATGGGCAAAGGGTGAACAAATGCAGCAACACTCCTCACTGGACCCTATGGTGAAAATGAACTAACACTTGTGGGTGGGGATGGGAGGGAAAAACTGGAGAGAGGGAAGGGGTGCCACTGTCCAAAAACACTTTACCTGACTTGTTACTGTACTGCTTCTGTACATCACCTTTATAATAACAATAAAACATTTTTTAAGTAGTAAATGCATAAAAGAATAGGCCTTCTGAGGGGAAATTCATTGCTAATCATTTGTATTTGAATGTAGATATGTACATTTCCTAGTTAAAAAATTTTTTTTCTGGGGACTGGGAAGGTGGCTCAGTGGTGGAGCGCTTGGCCTTGCATGCATGAGGCCCTGGGTTTGATTCCTCAGCACCACATAAGCAAAAAGAAAAAAAGCCAGAAGTGGCCCTGTGGCTCAAGTAGTTGAGTGCTAGCCTTGAGCTGAAGAGCTGAGGGAAAGCACCCAGGCCCAGAATTCAGGCCCCACGACTGGACCCCCCCCCAAAAAAAATAATAATTTTCTGGTTTCATATATTAAAACATTAACTCAATAACACCTATTTCTAATATTTGAAGGTAATATTTGCATTTTGCCAGACTGTCTCTGCAACTATAAATCTTTGTCTCCTAAGAAAAGAGATCATTCTAAATGCCCTCTGCCAAGACCACCGTGTTACTATTCTTATTTTTGAAGGGGCAGTAAAAAAAGTTTCTTCTGTTAACTTCTACCACAATGCAAATTATTTTCTATATGTAGGAGGTCCGTTTGATGCTTAGTGTAGCCAGAGGTAGAATAGCCATGGGTCCAGAGGGCATACTCACCTGGGACACATCCCCAGTGCTGGCCTTTCTACTGTTTATCATTAAAGATGATCATTCTCCCAGTAACAGTGAGAGCTCTTTTACCTCTAATTTTCACTACCATTAAACGTTATGAAATCTAGGTCAATACAAGTAAGAAGACTATTCCATTCAGCTGGAACTTAGATGAAACTGACAAGGTCAGCTTAACTGAAATGATTATCTAATAGCCCTAACTAGTCAAAGCTTCTGTCTCAAAAATACCAGGAATTTAATTTATTCTCACTATTTCCTGAGAATCCAGGATCTGAGCCCAGGATGAAACAGTTGCCTGGCTTACTCATTACACACACACACACACGTGTGTGTACATATATATATGTGTGTGCGTATATATGTGTACACACATATATGTATGTGATATATAATATATATACAATATATGATATATATACTTATGCATACAGAAATTAATGGAGGGACATAGATACACATGTACCTGTGTGTCTGTATGTGTGTATGTGTGTTATGTGTATAAGAATGTCTGAATTGCTCATGTAAACTTCTTCCAGCAGGGTATGAAGAGGAAGACCAGGATAACCATTGCTATGTGCTTATTCTCAGCTTACCAAGGGGTCAGGACTGAGGATGGGAGGAAGAAACAAGCACATAGGTCTTAAGTACTAAGACTAAGCAATTTCTAAACCACAGACATCAAAGAAGTTCTCAAAATACAAGCCCATGGTGGTTCTCTGAGATCTAGACACTTAGGTACTTCAGAGTGAGAATGAGAAACTGATGGCAGTGGAGATTAAATAGTTGGGAAAGTCGACACCGTGAGTCAGCCACAGGATTAAGAGTGGGACCCACTCTCCTGTCAGAAGACCAGTGTGGTCTTCCCATTTGATAGGCATGCCTCTCCAGCATCTGTGGAGCTAGCCCTGGAATTCAGGATTATTAGGCCTCCCCTGCCTTCCAATTCCATGGTTGGTTGGTTCTTGCTAGCGATAAAAGGGAAGCGTCCTTCACCATAATCCACAGGCACACCCTGGGACCTTTTTAATCTTTGCTAAGAACATTTTAAGTACTACAAAATCTTACTTTTTTGATTTGTCCTCCAGGAGGGTAAGCAAGTCTCTGATTCTCTAACTCCAGAAGGTCTACCTCTAGTTTTAAAATGAGGATTCAAAGCACTAACTAAAGGTTCTGATAGCTGGGTATAATGGTACGTGACCTATAAGCCCAGGTATTTGGGAGGTGGAAATTGGGTAGACAAAGTTCTAAATCCAGTCTATGCAAAAAGGTAATGAGCACTCGTTTCAACAAATCAGCGAGGTGTGGTGGTGTGAGTCTGTCAGCCAGCTATGTGGAAGGCATAGGTAGGAGGACCATGCAAAGACAAACATGTGGTACCTTATCAAAAAGTAAGTAAGCAAATAAGAGCTGATAGTATGTCTCAAGAGATAGCATGTTTGCTGAGAAAGGCAAGGATCTGAGTTTAAATCCGAATATTTCCAAGTAATAACAATAGTAAAAAATAAAGCTGCTGTGAAACAAAATGAGCTACCCTTGGGTACAATACCATCTCATGTGAGGAGAGTGTTTCTGGCAATCTTAGAAAATTGCTTCTGAAAAAATTTGCTTCTGAGTGAGATGGGCCAAGCAGAAATGCTGAAGGAGTAAAAGTCAGAGAGGGTAGGAGATTCAGAAGGGCCAGCAGACAGAATGAGGTGAAGAAAACCTTAGGTACTGATAGTTCTTATTTAAAAAACTGAATATATCCTTGTTAGGAAACTCATAGTTGCCAAAACAATTTCCCAGAATAGAAAAAGGATTTCACGAGGAAAACAAAAACAAAAAAACTTGCATGCCTGTTTCAGCCCAGTGAACATGATTGATGACAATTTAGGTAGGGGCTGGAATTACCTTTTTTAAAAAGCTTAGTATGGCCAAAATCTGGGTATTTTTTTAACTAACATAAGGAATATAATTATATAGCCATTTGTCTCCACCTACATACCTCTAAGGTCCCTTCCCTAAGACTTAAATTTTTGGAAATGTCCTCCAAAAAACTAATGAAATCCTCAGGCTAATGCTTAAGGAAGAATAAAACATCATTGAAGAAGTCAAATAAATGAAGTCACGACTTCTCTGACATGTCAAAAACAAACCAAAAAACAAAACATTAAGGAGCCATGACACATAACACAATGTTTAAACAGGAGGTTGGTGAATATGTATGTATGTGTTAACAAAGACCTTGTTCCCCAATATCGACCAAGAAAAAAAAATGCTGTCATCAATTGCTGAGGGATTTCAGGGTTCTAAAAAGAAACGAAACCACCTCGATTATAAACCTTCGTACGAATGAAACTCCCGGGGGGGGGGGGGGGGGGGGGTCATGTGGTAAGTACTTTTGCTCTCAATTTTACACAGTATCACGTCTTTGATCATATACTGGTTTAGTTCGTCCCTCTGTAGTATGATCCATTCTGCTTGATCTAAAGAACTCTACTGGCTGCACAACTGATTATGCACTAGAGTTGGAATTCTCTGAACCACCTGTAATGTCACCTTCCATTTGACTGGTATGACACACGAGGAAAAAAAAAAAAAAAAAAACAAGCTGTCAAATACCTAGCAGTGCACCTGTCGGTCTGCCCTCGGCTAACGTGAATGGAGAGATCTCCCACGAGAGGAAACATCCCGTGCCTCACAACCGCGATAGAAGCCGACGGCTTCTATTTCCAATCCCTCCCTCGTTTCAGGAGATCCAGAATGGGTCGATCAACCTCTTCCTGTTCCTCCAACTTCCACGAGTTGAGCACTTTCCCCCTCCCCATCTTACATTTCTCTGCTGCACAGGCCCCTCGCTTTCTTCCCCCAAACGTAAAGGCCACGTCGAGTGAGAAGCCCGGCACACGGGGAAACCGAGGGGCGCGGGGCACGCCGTGGCGGGGAAACTGAGGCGCGGGAGCGGAGGGAAGTCATCTCGGGTGAAGACGATGGGGATCGGGGGGGGGGGGGGCAGGGGATCGGGGAAGGGGGGAGAGGACAGGGGCCCTGGGCGGCACCGACGAGATGAGGCAGGCAGTCCGGGAACCGGGGCGGGAGGAGAGCCCGAGCGGGGTCCGAGCGGAAGCGGGGCGGCGGGCGGCCGGAGCCAGGGGCCCCCGTCCCGCCCCGGGGCGGGAAGTTGGTGGCGGCGGGCAATCGCTTCCCGCCCTCCCCCGCCCCCCCCCCCGGGCCGACTCACCGAAGAGGCTGCGGCTAAACCCGTCCCACACGCAGCCCGCGGCGTCCCACACCCAGCCGCTCCGCAGGCAGGACACGAAGGTGAAGGCGACGCCGCACGCGGCCCCCAGCAGGTCGCCCAGGCTGAGGTGGACCAGCAGGAGGTGGGTGGGAGAGCGCAGCCGCGGGAACTTGTAGTACAGGACCAGCACCAGCAGGTTGTTGCCGACGCCCAGCAGCCCCGCCGAGCCCAGCAGCAGCGCCAGGCGTTCGTAGGCGCCCGCGCTGAAGAGGGGCGCGGGGCTCAGGGTCCCCGCCGGCGCTGGACCCTCCGAGCCGGCGGCTCCGCCGTCCTCCCAGTACTCCTGGCCGCCGCTGCGGTTCCCCGAGTACATGGCCCGGCGCCCGCGCCGCTCGGCCACGGGGAGGTTCAACGGGACGAGCGGCCCACCGCACGCCAGGCACAGGGTGCGGCTCCGGATCCGCGGGCGGCTCTGGCCATGCTGCGGAAGGATTCGACGCGGGACCGCCAAACCGCCTTCCCCGCCCACCTCGCGCCCCACGCCCTCCCGGGACGCCCCGTAGCCCCGCCCCTCTCCGCAGACACGTCACGCCCCGCCCAGCACGCACTCGTAGCCCCTCCCTTCTCTGTAGGCGCGTCACAGCTCGCCGGCGCGATCTCCTAGTTCCGCCCCTCTCCGCGGGCACGTCACGTCCCTCCCAGCCCGCTCTCGCAGCCCCTCCCCTCCCCGCGGGCTCGTCAGCGCTTCCAGAGCGCGCTCGTGGCCCCGCCCCTCTCCTCAGGTACGTCACCGCCCTCCTCCACCCAGTCTCGTAGTCCCGCCCTTCCCCGCAGGCGCGGCACCGCCCTCCTCCCGGCGCGCTCGTCGCCCCGCCCCTCTCCTCAGGTACGTCACCGCCCTCCTCCACCCAGTCTCGTAGTCCCGCCCTTCCCCGCAGGCGCGGCACCACCCTCCTCCCGGCGCGCTCGTCGCCCCGCCCCTCTCCTCAGGCACAGA